TGTGTCTGTATGTCTGTATCTGTATGTGTCTCTGTGTTTGTCTGTGTCTGTATGTCTGTGTCTGTCTGTGTGTCTGTATGTCTGTGTCTGTGTTTGTGTGTATGTCTATGTGTCTGTATGTCTGTGTGCATCTCTCTGTGTGACTGTGCATGTGAGGGAGGTAGTTGTGCAGGTGAACACAGGTACCCATGGAAACCACCAGTGTCAAATCCTCTGGAGCTAAACTGAAAAGTGGCTGTGAGCAACCCAGTGTGAGTGCTGGGAACTGAACTTGGTTCTTTTACAAGAGCAATTGGCACCCTTGACCACTGAGCCAACGAGTAATGCTCGTTCTTGCCACCATGTCTGTTCAATGATCTGTATCCATCCATTCACTCATTCAGTCAGTCTTTTTCTCAGCCGTGTCCTTCAGTGCTTTTCACCATTTCTCCTTCACCTATTCTTTCACTGCTGAGTGAAGCTTGGAGAGCTGAGAAGAGAGCAGAAGACGCTGCCCCTCCCTCCACGTGGCAAACAGGAATCACTGCCCTGCCCATACACTGTGTGGGGGCAAGTGGCTTAACCTTTCTGAATTTACCTGGTTCCTAAAACTAACAAAACAAAAACCAGGCCTGGCGTGGTGGTGCACACCTTTAATCCCAGCACTCAGAAGGCAGAGGCAGGCGGATCTCTGTGAGTTTGAGGGCAGCCTGGTCTACAGAGTGAGTTCGAGTACAACTAGGGCACAGAGAAACCCTGACACACACACAAAGGGGCTGGAGAGATGGCTGAGAGGTTAAGGGCACCCATATGGCCGCACACAGCTGTCTGTAACTCCAGTCCCAGGGACTATGACACCCTCATACAGACATACATGCAGGCAAAACACCAATGCACATAAAATAAAAATAAAACAAAAACCAAAATTGGTCCTGCTTCATAAGACTATTGTGTGTGTGTCATTGTGCCTGTGAAGCAGTAATGCAGCTTCTGTGCCTGTACCTCAGGAAGAGTATTAGAGAGTAATCTAGTAAGTGCCAGGGCAAAGTTGTTCACCATAGGCCATCAGGCACCAGGGGTGACTGCACGCATCTCTACCTGCCTGCTCTCAGTAGAAGGGCAGTCTGAGGCAACCCCAACTCTTGTCTTTAGAACTGGGGACACATCCATCTTCAGAGTGGTCAGGTTAGGTAGGCTATGGAGTTCCTGGAAGCTGTGGAGCGTCTCCAAGAGCTCCCAACCTGGCCTAAGTCTAGATCAAGGAGAAGAGCCAGCAGCTGACAGGATAAGGGGCCGTCACTCATGTCCAGACTTGCGCTCAGGGTAGAACAGACTCACTTGTCCCTACTGGCGTTTCACTCACTTGAAACGCCAGTAGGCAGCCAATTTATGACCCCATTCTCCAACTGAGGAAACTGAGACACAAAAGCCACGAATTCGGGAGGCTATAAGGCAGGAATAAATTCAGTAGTTACAGCTGCCTGCCCCCACCCCAAAGGTCCAAGAGGCAGCTTGCTCCGGGCTGGTGGGAGGGGAAGGGGCAGGACATTGTTCTGGGGGAAGGAAGGGCCAGGTCACTGCAGGGCCAGCAGCTGGGCCTGCCCCCCCCAAGTATCTACACCCTGGCCTGGATTTGGAAAGTGTGTCTCATGGGGCTGAGAGGGAAGGAGGGAGCGGGGGGGGGGGGCGGGCAGGGAGGTTGAGTCAGTGTGGGAATGGAGACGTGGCAGAGACAGGATGTCCGACCAAGAAAAACAGTCCTGGCTGCCCATTCATCACCCAGGCACCTATTTGCCCCGTGCAGCTAACTTAACACTTCTCAGAAGTCCCACGGCTTTCTCCCCATTCCCAGGTGGGAAACAGAGGCACAGAGATAAAAGATGCTTGCTTAAGTCATTACAGTCTCAGGGAACCAAGCCCAGAGTGCTGGTGCATGCCTGTCAGCTCAGTGCAAGAACGACCGAGGCAGGAGGATTGCCTCCAGCTGGGGTCCAATTTGGAAGATATAGTGAGTTCCAGACCTGAACTACAGAACAAAACTCGATGTCAAGAACAAGGAAATGAAAAAAAAAAAAAATTAACATAGTCCAGACTGGAGGTGTGCCAGTGAGATGCTAACAGTCACAGCAGGGCAGCCTTATCTGTCACGCTCAGAAGTGCACAGCAGCAGCGCCCAGCAGCTGGCTACATCAGAGCCTCCCGCAGCCAGACCCAGGCTTCCACACACGTGTGTGCGTTAGACTCTGGGACCTGCACACATAGGGGACCCACATGGCATCACAGGCACAGAAATGAGTACCTTCAGCACGGAGGCCTGTTGGAACACACCCTGCTGCCCAGACATTGCTGTGGAGTCCAGGCTAGCATCCGACTGGTCACAGTCCTGCCTCAGCTCTCCCAGCGCTAGGATGACAGATGTGCATGGCCACATGAGCTCTCTGGTCATCACACACCTTTCAAGGTGCACAGTATATCCCACACAAACATAAATACAAAGTCAGACACATGTGTGTGGCTCAGTGGTAGAGCCCCTGCCTAGAATCCCCCAGTGAGGGGCTGGCGTGCGGCACGCTTGTCTACTATGTGCAAAGCACCAACACTGCAATAAAACAGCTTCACCAGATCCCCCTGTACTACCTCTCAGATCACACAAAATCACAACTAGCCATAATCATAGGTACACAACCCATGTAGCTAGCCACCCACACAAGTCCACCAACTCACAGGAATTCAGAGCCACGGCCTCCATGTCCCATCTGTCAGCACACACCATCCTGGACCGACACACAACCCACACCCATCACACGATGCTTTCCCCATCCCCACAGATCTCCCTGGACAGACAGGCTCCACCTGTGCCTCCAGGGCCAGAGGAAGGGAATCCCCATCCCCACCCCTCTTCATCTCCTGCGGAAGCTGGGGCCCCGGGCTCCACCGTTCAGACCCAGCCCATGGCTAGGCGCACCCGAACTCCGCCCTCCCCTGCTCCCCCTCAGCCAGCTTGCACAGCAGTGATGACTGCTGCAGCTGCCTCCTGTGTTTCTCCCTCGGGGCTGCTCTGCTGGATATCGGCCAGGGGCACTGGCACTTTCAGAGCCAAAGCCCTGTCCTGGCCCTGCCTTCCTGCCTGGCCCTGGGTTCCCTCTGCCCCACACTCTTGCCTCCTTTGCCCCAAATCCGTTGCCAAAGCCTAGGGATGGGGGTGGTGGCAGGGATGGGTAGAGGCTCTGTGGGCCCAGACACTGGGATCCTGGGGTGGGAGGGCTGCAGGGGAGGGGACAGAGGCTGGGGTAGGAGTGGGGCTGAAAGGCTGGGCAGGGTGGGTGGGGAGGCTCACTGGAGGCCCTGCTGGAATTTACCCCCGCTGCTCCCCCTGCACAGCTGTTTATAAATTCCAGGCCTGGCCTTGGCCTCCACCCAGATTCTCCCTCCCCGGCCCATCTGTGGCCCAGCAGCAAAGCCAGGAGCTCAGAGGCGCAAGCTTGGGGCCCAGGGCCTCCCTGCCTGGCCCGGGCTCTTCCTGGGACTCTCTAGCACCTCCTTGTCCCCCCACCCCTAGTCTCGGCCCTCATCTCTCCTTTTCCAGCCTCCTGACCCACCCAGACACGTGGCTCCAGCCTGCTCACACGTGTTCACCCCTGTAGACCTGGAGCCCACGTGCCAGCCTCCTCCCGCAGAGCCAAGGGCCCGGGCCCAGCCCCATCCTCACACGGTGCTTCTCCTCACTCACCTCGGCTCACTCTCTGTTTGGCACCTGACAGGATGCCTGGCGTGTCGATGATGCTGATGCTCTCCAGGACCTGGTTGGGGAGCTGAGCGCACATAAACCTGGGGGCGGGGAGACAGAGGTCAGGGGTCAGTGCAAAGAGAAGGGACGCTCAGGGTACCGTAAAGAGAGGCAGGTGCAGAGGATGGCAGTCCTAGAAAGAAGGAAGTTAATGGGATCTATTGAAAAAGCAAAACCTATCTGTGTCTGGGGAGATCTCAAGTCAGCGCTATGATTACCTTCATTTTCCAGACGGACATGAGAGGCACAGAGAGGTTAAGTCACTTGACCAAGGCTGCCCAGCATTCAGTGGCAGAGGCACAATTGGAACCCAGGCTCCCATAGGGAAGGGAGCAGACGCAGGAAGGGAAAGGAGTAGGCAGAAAGAAGAGAGTCAGAGCTGAGAAGGACAGAAGCATCCTGGGATAGATGTCCCTTGCCCCCCTCCTGGCTGGCAGCTGCCACACCTGTTGAGGAAGGTGTTTCCGAAAGGGTTGAGTTTGCGGAAGGGCTTCTCCGGGTCCACGACCAGGGCGTTGCCTGGCACGGTGCCCTCTGTCTCGCCGTGCATGACAGCTACAAAGCAGTCGGTCGTGGGCTCGGGACCCACGCGGGAGCCGGGCACCTCCTGCTCCAGGAGGTACTGGATGAAGCTGGTCTTGCCGGTGCTGTACTGGCCGGCCACCAGCACCATGGGCTTGCCGTCGAAGTCAGCATCTTCCAGGGCTGGCGAGTGGAAGGCCCCGAAGCGGTAGTGCTCCTCCAGGGGAAGAAGCTTCGTGCGGTACAGCTCCTTGAGGGACGAGGTCACAGTGCGGATGGCCTCGGGTTGCTGGCCCCGAGCCCCACCCTTCTTCAGCCAGCTGAACATGGTGTCTTCAGTGCCCACTGGGTCAGCCGGGGAGACTACGCCTGCCGGAGGAGGAGGGGGAACACAATGAAAGACTGCTAGGGAATGGCTGGGGATGGGACGAGGAGCAGGGGGCCAATGGCGGGAAGAGGGACAAGGGCCAGCATGGAGACTAACAGTGGGCGCAGTTCAAGAAGGGGAGGTGGGATAGAAAAGGGAAGGGAGAACACGGGAAAGAAAGGGAATGCTGGAGGGGGTAGGGGTGCATTCTGGGCTGGATATGGTTGAGCACATCTGTAATCCTGGGAAGCTGAGACAGGATGGTCAGAAGTTCAAAGCTGGCCTGGGCAACATGTAAGACCCCATCTCAAAAGACCCACATCCAGAGAGACCCGTTCCCAGATCCGTCCATCACCACCCCGCATGCCCATCATTTGGCTCGTTTTCACTGAAATGGCTCCATGATGCAGGGGCTCTCCTCCAAAAGAAGAGCCAGAGTGGCCGATTCTCCCAGCTGAGGGCCCGGGTTAACCCAACAGTTAACGGTGCCTGTAAAATTCCAGGCATCCAGAGGGGCATGGGGATCTACAGGGCCAGCAGATTCAGGGCAAGGCTGACTTTTGAGCTTCTTCATGGAGGACAGGCAGACAGAGTCTAAGGGTGTGACAGGCTCTCGGGGGCTGGGAGCTCAGAACTGTCTCGTGGGGACACAGAACCGGAGGGATGAGAAAGGAGGTTGTAGAGGCTACCTTGCAGTCCCCAGTTTAGTGGGAGCCTCGGGCATGGAAAAGAAACATGATAACTATAAGCCAGACACTGTGCCAGCTCATATTTGGGTTGTGGTGCTAGAATGGAACCCAGGACTATGAGCATGCTAGCCAAACACAATACTGCTAAGTTGGACCTGAGCCCCTCACTGGGGAATTCTAGGCAGGTGCTCTCCTACCAAGGTACATTCCCCAGGCCCTGACTTGGGGGTTGTAGGCAGGAGCTCTACCACTGGGCCACACCCCCAGACCCTCTGGGGAACTCTAGGCAGGAGCTCTACCACTGAGCCACATCTTCTGTGCTAGCTCCCTAGTTTTATCCAGAGTTGTGGGCTAGAACCCAAGGCTTCAAGCACGCTAGGCAAGCACTCTACAAACAGTTATGTCCTCACTCCGACCCACCCTATTCCAAAGAGGAAACAGCCTCGTAAGACAACAAGAGCCTGCACCGGATCACCCAGCTGGAAAGCACTAGCTGGATGCCTTTCTCCCAAGAACTTAGGGAAAAAGTCATCAACAGTCCTGCAGCAGAGAGCACCCCCAAAGCCAGACTGTGCTCTCTGTAGCCCCTCAATACCCTTGTGAGCCTTGAGTCACTGTAGGGTCTGGGGTGGTGTGTTTCCTGGTCTCTCCCCTCCCTCACGCCATAAGAGATGATTATGTTAGTGACCTCAAAGAACCAGCCTTTGGTCAGACTGGAGTCTCTGAATGTCATTCTTCGCAGAAAGAATCAAGGGCTCCCCAGTGAAACAGCTGTCCCGGACATGAGCCTGGGAAAGAGCAAGCCAGTTCGGAGCAGCTTAAACACCACCAGGGACACAGCCCCCAGCCTGAAGGGGTTCCCATCAGCCAGAGATGAAACAACCTTTCATTTTTCTTTCATTTAAAAGATATTTATTTTATGTGTATTTTCTAGGCACGTGTGTCTGTGTCCTGTGTACATGCAGTGCCCTTGGAGGCCAGAAGAGAGTGTTGGGTCCCCTGGACTGAAGTAACTGATGGCTGTGAGCTGCCATGTGGGTAACAGGATAAACCTCGTCTTCTGAAGCAGCAGCCAGTGCTGAGTCTACGCTATCTCTCCACCGCCCCATCTCACTACTCATGTTCTCACTGTGTGGCGCTGGCTGGCCTAGCACTAGGACACTAACCTGGCCTTAGGCTCAGAGATCTGCCTGCCTCTGCCTCCTACATCTTGGGCTTCATGAGCTCTGCCACCACATCTGGCTCATAGATGGGGCACTCTAAGCAAAAAAACAAAACAAAACAAAAAAAAACAAAACCCTGCAAATCAAAACATTGAGTTGATAAGTAAAAAGAAAACAGATAGGAAAAGAGGAGGGGTGGAAGAGAGAGAGCAGACACAGGAACCGTTACACAGCCGCAGAAGAGGGGCCTGCGAGCGTCCCAGGCAGGGAGCTAGCTCAGGGAGATCTCAAAAAGGACGCCCTGGGTCGGCTAGGGCTCCACACAAGAGGGGCAGGAGAGGGCTCTTGGGTGGCGAGACAGAGCAAGGAGGGCAGAGATGGGCGTGGAAGGCGGAAAGCCACTTCACGGAGGGGCTCTTCTCCGGTGAGGAAGGCTGGGGAGGGACTAGGAGTAGGGGGCTACAGAGGAAGGAGTGGGGAGCCCGGAGGACTAAGGACAGCCTGGGGAAGGAGGAGACCTGAAGAGGCTGGAAGAAGTGGAGAACGGAGGAGCGGAGGTCCCGGAGGAAGAGTGTGGGAATGGGAGGGACTGGGAAGGACAGGGCGCAGACTTACAAAGGGGAGCAGGCGTGAGGACTGAGATTTCGGGAGCACTCACCAGAGATCTGGAGAGCGCAGAGCAGGCAGCCTGAGCTCTGTCCCGTCCGCAGCCGAGTGAGCCGGGTGGGGCCGCGCGGGAGGAGCGCTGGGCAGGGCGGGCCCGGACCCCTGTCCCAGGCCGCGCCGCCTCCGGCGCCCCCTGGCGGGCACTTGGAAGATGCGCACAGGCTCGCGGGAGCAGTCCTTAGTTCGAACTGAGGCGGGTCGCCCTCCAATTTTTGGCTCCCTCCCAACCTGTCTCTTAGCAAAAAAGGAGACAGCGGCTGCAGCAGGTCTACCAATAACTTATCCTGCCATGGTGATGCATGTCTGTATTTTCCAACATCAGTGAGACAGAGGTCTACGGCACACTTGAAGCCAGCCCGGTCTGCCTGACAGGATCCTGTCTCAAAAGTAATTTTAACAACAGTAATTTAAAAATCTAAGTGCATGGGCTGGGTGTCGTGGCACATGCTTTTAATCTCAGCATTCGGGAGGCAGAGGCAGGCGGATCTCTGTGATTTCCAGTCCAGCCTGGTCTACAAAGCAAGTCCAGGACAGCCAGGGCTACACAGAGAAACCCTGCCTTGAAAAACCAAATCAAAGAAACAACAAAAACCCTCAAGGGCATGAGGCCAGTAGAACACCCATCTAGGCTGCATGGGGCCCTGGGTTCCATCCCCAGCATGGAGGCACAAGCTTGGACTCCCAGCACCCGCTCACACACACATTACGTGGTGTGATAGTTTGAATGAAAATGGCCTCATAGGCCCATAGGGACTGGCGTCATTAGGAGGGTGTGGCCCTGGTTGAGCAGTGGGTGAGGAGGGGGTGGGCTTTGGGGTGTCAGATGCTCAAGCCTGGGCCAGCCTCTCTCTTCCCGACGCCTGCGGATCTGGATATAGAACGCTTCGTTTCCTCTCAGGCACCATGTCTGCCTGCATAATGGACTAAACCTCTGAACTGCAGGCCAGCCCCAATTAGATGTTTGCCTTTGTAAGAGTTGCTGTGGTCCTGGTGCCTCTTCACCGCAATAGAAACTGACCCCCCTCCCCCTTCCCCCGGAGACAGGGTTTCTGTGTGCAGCCCTGGAACTCTATTTGTAGACCAGGCTGGCCTCAAGCTCAGAGACCAACCTTCCTCTGCCTCCCAAGTGCTGGGATTAAAGGCCTGCACCCCCACCAACCAGCAAACAGAAAACCCTAAGAAAGACACATGGCTTACTTTATTTTCTAAAACGGGGTCTTGATAAGTAGCCCAAAAACACCTTCCGATCCTCCCGCCTCAGCCTCCCGCACCCAGCAGGCGAGCAGCTGCTTCTCTGCTACTGCTGCCTTCCCACCACCTGGGCACTGACCACCAGAGTGCCATCAGGTGAGGCAACATTGTCACCCGCTTATTTATGTGGTTTAGTGTGTATGCACGGGGCGGGGGATCTGTGGGTATGTGCAGAAACCAGAGGACGATGTGTGTTCTCTACCAACCAAACCCCAGGCTCTGCGCCCTTTTCCCTCAGTGCCGGGGGAAAGCGGTTTGAGGCAGCCCTTGGCTTGTATGTCTGCAGCCCTTGTTCCGCCTGATGCAGGATGTCACACAGCTCAGGCCAGACTAGAACCCGCTAGGCAGCACAGGATGACCTTAAGCTCTTGACCCTCTTGCCTGTCCCCAGTGCCGAGGTGACAGGTAGGTACTACCATGCCCAGTTTGAGATGCTGGTGATGGAACCCAGGGCCTCCTGCATCCTAGTCAAGATTCCCCCCCCACACACTTTAATGTAGTTATGTAATTTTTCTAAGATTTATTTTTACTTCTATAGGTGTTCGGTCTGCATGTTTCTGCACCATGTGCATGCATTACTCTCAGAGACCAGAAGAGGGCGTCAGATACCCTGGGATTAGAGTTGGGAATATTATGAGCCACTATGTGCTAAAAATCAAACCAAGGACCTCTGCAAGAGCAGCCAGTGCTTTTAACCCCTGAGCCATCTCTCCAGCCCCTATTTATTTGTACATCGAGACAGGCTGACCTTGATCCACTGAAATAATGGTAAATAGCCTTTAATTCCTGATTTCCATGCTCCCACCTCCCAAGTGCTGGGATGACAGACAGATACCAGAGCCCTGAGCATTTTTAAGATATTTGATTTGTGTGTCTATGTGTGTGCCTGTGTGGATTTTGTGACATGGTTGTACCCAGAGACAACCAGAGGGTGCCACCCCCGGAACTGGAGTTACACGCAGTAGGGAGCAGCCATGTGGGTTCTGGGAACTAATCCTGGTCCTATGCAAGAGCAGCAAGCACTCAACACTGAGCCATTTCCGGAGCCCCGTAAATGTCTCTGAATAGTGGGATGTCTAAACCACGGCAACGCATGGATGGTTGAGAGTACTGACCCGGGCAGGGTCCCAGTGCCACATGCTCCCCGGGGCAACGCTCAGAGCATTTCCAAGCAAAGCCCACAGTCCATAACCGGGTACAGCAGGAACTGACGGCAGCGGCTTCAGAGGCAGGGACCTCCTTCAAGCAAGCAGCCCCCTCTACATCTGTGTGTGGGCAAGTGGGCCACTGCGATACGGGGTGGTCAGAGAACGTGAGGGAGTCAGTTCTTTCCCTCTCATGGAAGTCCCAGCGGTCAAACTCGGGCCATTTGTCCCATCCACTGAGCCATCTCACCGCCGCCCACTGGGCTCAGAACATGGCCCAAGACCCAGTGGACACGCATCTAACATACCAAATTCCTCTCGACTGGCTTGGTCCCAACCCACCAGCACTACTCCCAAAATAAAACACCCAAAAGCAACAGGGGCCGGAGGGAGCTTTAGTTAAAAAAAAAAAAAAAAAAAAAAAGGATCGGCCTTTAATTTACAAGAGTTCTAGATGTACAGAATTCTCCCTTAAAAAAATCGTTATACACAATAAATACAGTACAAAAAAAATCTTTATCTTACAGTACTAGTTTTGTCTCCGAGATTTTAAAACGTGGCGTGGCGGGCTGGAGGCAAGAACAGGGAAGACGGCTTGGGAGAAGGGAGGAAGACCCCGTGTCTTGTTCCTTTGGCGGGATGGAGGCAGTGGGGATCGCTCACTCTCTCTCTCGCGCGCACACACACACACACAGGATGACTCAGGAGGGTGCGCGTACGGATGGGACGCAGGTACTTTGGGACACTGACTTGAGTCCTTGCTTCCTAATTTTCCAGGCTCCACGGGCAATCGGAAGAGAGCCGAGCCTATCTGAGGATCTCTCCCAGCTGTGGGCGCCCGGACGGATCCACGAGGCGAATCAGACAATACCCGGATTTAGATGTTACCGGTACGTCAAACCCAGTACCGAGTCCCGGGCAACACTCACACGTACCCCCTGTCCCGTCCTGTGCCAGGGGGATCCTGTACATTACAGCCACCTTCTCTAGAAACCCACGGCCCCTCCCAAATCTCTAGCCAACGTGGAAGCAGGAAGGTGGGGAGGCCTTTGTGACTCAAATAACTTAGGCAAGAATCGTCAGGGGAACCGGGTTGGCGCCCCTCAGAGGTGGAGGCGGGCTGCCAGGCTGCTGCCCTGGAAGCGCCTGACAGAGGCCGCAGGAGCAGCCCAGTGTTATCTGTTCAACGTTCTGGCGCCGAGGCCACCGTTGTGACTGGAGGGCGGGAAGGCGTCGGGCCTGTGCAGGGGGGCTGGGGATGCGGGCGCGCCAGGCGTGGGCCCCGTATGGGGGTACGGGCCTGCGGGTGTCCGGCCGGGGGCCTGCTGCAGGTTAAGGATGCTGTCGATGGCGCTCTGCAAATGCTCGGTGAGGGTATCGTCCTGCGGGCTGTCACTAGAGAAGCTGGCCTGGTCCACGTCGGGGGATTCGGACTTGCGTCGTTTGGCTGGGGGCAGGGCGGGTGCTTCCCAACCAGGTTCGGTGGGGGCCTGGCCGGTGGCGGACGCTGGCGTGTCCAGGGGTGGTGGGCCGCCCTTCAGAACCCGCTGATACAGTTCGTCCTCCACCGCCGCAAGCTCCCGGATCAGGCCACTGGTAGCCTCATCTACCTTGGCGGGCAGTGGGGGTGGGCTGCCCGCACCCCGCGGCTGTCCCTGTGCCCCCTCGGCCGCCCCCGGATCACCTACGTTCTCGCGGTAGGTCTTGCGCAGCGGTAGACGTGGGCAGGACGCGGGCATCGAGGGTTTGCGTGCTGTGGGCGGGGAATGGTCCAGAGTGCCATTCATCTGCGCCTGCGTGGCAGGCGGAGGCGGGGGCGGAGCTGGGCGCGGCGGAGGCTCCGCCCCTTTCGCAGGGGCCGGGGCGGGCAGGGGCTGGTGCACAGGGTCCAGGGCAGTGTTGTGTACCACCTTGCTGAGCCCCGCCTCCTGCTTGATCTTGAGTTTGAGGCCGATGCGACTCCGGGCCTCGTAGGTCTTGATGGGCGGCCGGTTGCGGGAGGGCATGGGACCATCCTCATCAGCGTCCAGGGATGAGGCGGCGGAGGATGAAGATGAAGATGAGGATGTTGATGACAAGGATGACGACGCCCTGGCCCAGGTTACCGAAGGGGAGCCTCCAGCCCCACCATGTCGGATCACTAGCTTGGTAGGTAGGTGAGGAGGGGGCTGGGCAGACGTTGTGGATGAGGAAGATGAGGATGATGGGCCATGGCTGGGTAGCCGGTGACCCTCGGAAGACACTGGGACGGCGAAGCCGAGGGAGCAGGAGGAAGACACATATTCATCTGCAGAGTTGGGACAGAGAAACCCACGGGTTAGTAGCTACGATGAGACAGGTACTTGTGCACTCTCCTATCTCCTGGTCCAGGGTGAGTCTAGATCCTAGACCAGGGGTTCTAAGCCCTTTGGGGTCGAACCACCCTTTCACAGGGGTTGCACATCAGATAGCCTGCAAATTCACACTACAATATATAACAGCAGCAAAATTAAGAGTTACAAAGTAGGAATAAAAATTTACACGGGGAGGGGAGAAATGGTTCAGAGTTTAAGAGCACTGGCTGCTCTTTCAAAGGTCCCCAGTGCAATTCCTTGCAACCATGTGATGGCTCCCAGCCATCTACAATGAGATCTGGTGCCCTCTTCTGGCATGCAGGCGCATATGCAAGAATAACACTGTATACATAATATATAAATCTTAAAAAAAAAAAAAAAACCTTTCTAGTTGGGGTTAAGGGGTCAGGAACTGTACTTCATGACTGTAGTGGCAAGAAGGCTGAGAACCACTCATCTAGACCAAGCACTCCGCACGCTCCCTGATCAACGTCACTCAGGCTCACCCAAGCCTCAGTGCCCTACCAAGGCTGCATGTGTATGAAATGATGACTAAGAATTTAAAACAAAAAGTGCAGCCCCAGGCGAGGTATGGTGCTATGTCTGTTATTGTGGCTACTCAAGAGGCTGAGAGGGAGGCTCTGGAATACCAAGGTCAGCCTGGGTACTTAGTGAGACCCCATTTCTAGAAAGTGAAGTTAAAAACAAAACACAACAGGATTGGGACATGGTTCAGCAGTTGAACTCCTGCCTAGAATCCCCCAGTGAGGGGCTGGGGTGTGGCTCAGTGGTAGAGTCCCTGCCTAGAGTCTCCCAGGAAGCGGTTAGGGGAGTATCTCAGTGGTAGGGCCCCTGCATAGAATGCCCCAGTGAGGGGCTGGAGGCGTGGCTCAGCAGTAGTCATAGCCTAGCATGCTTCCAACCCTGAGTTTAAACACTAGCACCTCAAAAACAAACAAGTGCTCCCAGGTTATTTGCTTGTTTTCTGATGCACTAGGCATGTGCTCCCTAAAGGCCCACCTACAGGCCCTGGCAGGCTGCTTACAACTTTGACGGCTTTCCTTTTAGAAAGGGAAAGGCATGGCGTGTAAGACACTAGGTGCAAAAATTAAGGGGGAAGGCTCGTTCCTAGGGTGGTGCAGGCACAGAATGGGCTTCGAGTGTGTGTGGCAGGAACCTGTTTGTGCCTTGGCCCTGGCTCTTCTCTTTCTGTCTCTCTCGCTTTTGCAGCGGGCTGAGGCTGGTAGAAAAGCCTTTCATCCTAGGATCCAGGGTGGAAACGCACAAGGAGCGGCAAGCAAGGGAGGCAGGAGGGGCTCTTGCGCCCCCTTGTGGCTAAAAAAAGTAAGGCCACTCACCACAATCCACAGACCAGGCAGGACTCAGAAGCCTCTGCCTCCCCTGAGCACCAGCAAACATGCCAGGCTGCTCTCTGGGAATCTCAGCAGCAGACAGGTGGGGGATGCCCGACCCCCTCCCCTCTCACCAGGCTTCTCCTTGGCAAGCTGCTTATCCAAGGCAAGGGTGGTCTTCTCCTCCTGAATGAACATTCGGTCGATCATAACCATCTCCGCGGAAGGACTGACTCTCTGTGGTGGGTTGGCGTAAAGGACACGTGAGAAAGCAAACTGGCAGGAGGTGACTGGTCAGGCTCAGACCATCCACCTCCCTTCCACCTCCCTCCCTGCGAAGGAGATACCCTCTCAACCCTGCCCAGAACCAGACAAGGAGGGAAGGACCCCAGTGGATTCAGAATCCTACCCTGGACTCTTCCAGAAGCAAAAGCCGGTATTTATTGAGCATGGCCTGGGTGCGTTTGAGCAGCTGTGTGGAGACAGTCTCAAACTCTTCATCCACTGAAGAAAAGAAGAGCCACACAGGGAAGGAAGGGGATGACACAGGGTGCCTGTGGCCAACTGTGGCCACTCGGGAAGTGCTCAGCCTACTCCATGCTCTGCGGCCTGAATGACGAGGGCTGGTGGCTGAGCTGAGGGCACTCAGGGTCACGGGAGGGCGGTGGGGAGGCCTCACCTTTGTGGTAGTCGTTGGGGGAGGGGAGGGCGCCTTGGTAGACATGGTAGGGCAGGAGGCGATGGAGGGCGTCCTCGAAGGAAGGGAAGGCTGTCTTGTAGTCGGGGTGCAGGACAGAGCCCTGGTGCCTGTGCAGATGCTCCAGGAAGCTGGGGGTGGGGTAGACCACACACACAGCTGAGGGTGAGGGCCAGAGAGGCTGATCCTGGACCTCAGCCCCGAGCTACAAACTCAACACTAAAGGAAAGCAGCGCCAGCCTGGCTCCCTGCGCCCCACTTGTTTCATGACTTCCCTGACCATAGACCAGAGTGAACAGGTAAATAGAGGAGGAAAAGCCTGGGAAAGTGATGGACATCGATCCCACTTAGGCATCCAAAGAAGAAAAGGAGGGGTTGGGAGTGTCGCAGGAACACCAAGGTCCATGCCATTCTGTCTCCGGCCCCGGGGGCAGGACCTCTCCACTGCCTCTGGCCTAAGAGAGTGTGTAGGGGTGGGGTTGCCTAGAAGGGTGCTAGGTTTTAAGAGCCCACTCTATTTCTCAGCTGTGGTTTTCCACAGAATCCCTATTACAGCAGGGCTGGGTTTCCCCAGCAGGTGACCATGTCCCCAGCAGGCAAGCCTTGAAGACCAGCTCTCACACCACGGGGCAGATTTCCTAATATTGCTTACTTGTGGTCTCGCAACTACTCGGTGAGTGCTTGGCAAACACTTGGGTGGGAGGAGACCAGGGAAAAGTTACTCCTCCCAGTGCTCTGACAGCCTGCCTGCCCTCACCCAACAGGCAGCCATCTCACCGCCTATCTACCCAGGTCCCCCAAAACATGCTTACCCATCTTCCCTACCCTCAAGCTTGTGTGCTCTTAACTTGCGGGCCTACCTGGACACCTCTGTATTCTAGTCACCCCTCACTTTCTACCTGGCGCTTCCCCACCACACCCGACGAGCGGACATCAAACTGGAGAGGGCTGTTGAAGCCAGTGGCCTGCCAGTGTCCCCTGTGGACTTCCTTGTCATTGTTCCCTTTCGGAAAGGAAACTGAGTCGAGGGAATGCGCCCGACTCTGGAGCGCTGGAGTGGTGGGGACAGGTGGCGGTCACTCACCAGGCTTCTTTGCTGGGTTGCAGCAAGGGCTGTTTCTTCAGGCTACACAGCTTGCTGTCATACTGTGGAAGGAGAAGAGGTGAGTGACAGGTGCTGCTAGAGGAGGCCTTCTCTGCCTCCTCAGCCTATATCCTCCCTCTAGCCATGGACACAGATAGTAAAGGGAGCTGGCCCCAGCTACCGAATGCCCTGCCCATCAAGAGAAACCTGGTGGGGAAAACCTGGTGTGCTGTCATATGACTTAACTGTCACCTGGACACAGCCTAGCGTCACCTGAGAGGAGACGTCTTAAGTGATGCCTAGCCTTTGGGGGTTATCTTGATTAACTGAAGGCGCTAAGCTGTGTGAGAAAGCTAGCTGAGCATGAAACTAAGCCAACGAATGCTCAAGCCAGTGAGCCAGCCAGTAAGCAGCATTCCTCCTGGTCTCTGCCTCCGTTCCTGTCCAGGCTTCCCTCAATGATGAACTGTGACCTGGAAGTAATAAGACAAATAAACCCTTTTCTCCCCTAAGCTGCTTTTGTTCTTGTTTTTGAGACAGGGTTTCTCTGTGTAGCTTTGACAGTCCTGGACTCGGTCTGTAGACCAGGCCTTGAACTCCCAGAGATCAGACTGCCTCTGCCTCCCATGTGCTGGGATTACAGGCATACACTACCCTCGCCTGGCTGGTTACAGTCTTATTATCATAGCCACAGATGGCAAACAGGATAGCGTGTAAACTCAGCACCTGGATGCTCAGGTGGGAGTTCAAGGACAGCCTGGACACAGAGACTCCCACCTCCATCTCAGAAACCAAGGAGGGAAAAGGCAGGTGGATTTCTAAGAGTTCAAGGCCAGTCTTGGATAAAGACCGCATTTCGAAAACCAAAAAGGGAGGTATGAGTTCAAGGCCAGCCTTGTTTATATAGTGAATTCCAGGCTGGTTGGGGCTACAAAGTAAGACCCTGCCTCAAACAGAAAGGAAGGAAAGAAAACAAGACAAAACAAAAAGAGAGAGAAGGAAGTACAGAGTGAGAGGAGAAGGGGGGAGGAAGGAAGATACGAAGGAAGGAAACAAGCAATCTGCTTGGGAGAGGTGGACTAGGCTGTGGGAGAGGAGCCCTTGGACCCCACCTCTGTCCACTTTGTGCCCTCCTAAGGCAAGTCTCACCAGCTGGCCTTTGAATGTCACCATTATTTACACTGCTCCTGCTCTCCTCCAGTGAGTCTAGCATTAATATACTTTGTTTGAGATAACTGGTCTGTCCAAACTTCTTTACCATGCCAGCCATCAAATCCTGGGGTTTGAGCCAGTGTTCCACGCCCCCACCCCACCCCCTCCAGCCACACCCCAGTCCCTCACTGGGGGATTCTAGGCAGGGGATCCATGTCTGAGCCACACCCCTGCCTCTCACTGGGAGATTCTGGGCAGGGGATCCACCACTGAGCCGTGGCCACAGTCCACACCTAAACTACTACTGTAGGGTTGGTGGTCCTCCTCCAACCCTACAGACAGCCACGTGCCCCTGAACCAGGGAGCTCTGGTAACCTCCCCTGCCCAGTGTTCTACGTTCATCTCTCTCCTGCCAGCTCATTCTTCGATCCCTAGTTGCTCTCAAGTTCCTTACCTGCATCGTTGGGGGCTTCCCAGGCCCAGACACAGCAGCTTTGGCCACACTCAGGGTTGGAAGGTTGCTGGCAAAAGCCTTGTTTTCCACAGGAAGCAGAGGAGGGAGGCCTGGTGTGGGGTGAGGAAGGGAGCCAGCCCAGCATGAAGGCTGTTCCTCCATTGGGAGGCCCCTTCCCACCCCACGGCTCTCCCACCAGACGGCTCTCCCACCAGACCTACACAGTCTGCCCTCCCTCCTCCACCTGCTGGGCCAGGAGGGTGGGGCAACCCCGGGCTTCGGTACACAGCAGTTCTACGCAACCCTTTCACCTGGGCAGGCTCCTCTCCCTACCTGTGGTGGCCATTGGTGTGGAGGCTGAGGCATGGCTGGAGGCGGCAGGAGTCCCAGGTGGTGCCTGTCCACTGACTAGCACAGTAGGATTGGCGAGGGGTGCCAGGGCGGTGGACGTCTGTGGGGTGGTGGTGGTGCCCACAGCCTTATTCTGGAGAATAATCCCAGATGTGACCTGAGGGAGGGCAGATGGTTGAGGGCGGAACTGGAAATCACAGTGTGGCCAGATGCACCAGGGAGGGCAGGGCCAGGCAGGGGGTCGGTCTGGGTGCGGCGGAATTAGGTGTGCTCCTGATGGTTACCTGATGGAACCGGTCCAGAAGTGCTTTTGGCTGGGGCAGCGCGGGGAAGGGGGCAGTTACCATCTGGAAGGTCCGAGGCGGTGGAGGAGGAGGTGCTGTGGGCTCGGGGACCATGTGGAGGGCTGGGGGCGGAGTAGGGGACTTATGGGGTCCCTGGCCCTGTGGGAACTGGAGATGGAAGTCGGGGGGTGTGGGGGCTGGCAACCTGGTGGAAGGCTCAGAAGAGGAGGCCACGGTGGAGGGGGTGGAGGCAGGAGGGAGGTGGGGGGCTGGGGGCAGCGGGCCCTCAGGAGGCTGGGATGGGGGCCGCAGAGGGGGCTGAGGTGGGCCTGGGGCCGTGGTGGCTGGGGTGCCAGCTGGTGGTGCGGCACCCAATTGATTCTGGATGACAAAGATGCCAGGCAGAGTCGGGGGACCCTGCGGTGGAGGGCAGGGGTGCAGGCTGGGCTCGGAAGGTGGGCAGGGCAGGCTCTGGGGCTGGGACGGAGGGCGAGAGTGGGGTCTCGAGGGTGGGCGGGAAGGGGGCCTGGCAGGGTGTGGGGAGGGCATGTGGGGACTGTCTCCCAGGGGGGCCTGGTGAGGTAGTGATGGGGAGGAGGAGGGGCCGGGGGCCTTCAGCGGAGCAGCTGCAGGGATCTGTGTAGAACAGGGAGGCAGAGACAGGCTCAGATCAGCCTTGGCTTCCACATGTCCGTGACACTGTAACCCCACACCCCCTTCACCCAGCCCTCCTTCAGCCCTCTGCAGGCCCCATTCTCTCTCTGCCTACCCAAGTCCTTCCTGAGGCCGGACCCCACTGCAACCACTCACAGCTCCCTAACTCACCTGGCCCTCCAATCTCCCCCACCACGCCCATATGCACCCCCCACCCAGCAGATGGAGCAAGCCCTGCGGGGTGCGGGTTGGCAGCAGCAGAGGAAGCAGTGGCAGGGACACCGGGGCACCACAAGCTGCTGAGCAGGAGGCAAGAGGAGCACAGCACAGGGAGGGCCCTGCACGGCGTTCAACAGACGCCATTCACAGCACGTGGCTGCTGGCGAGGACAAAAGGGCAACAGGAAGTGGCCAGCCATGGGAAACGGGGGGGTGGGGTGGGGGGGGCCCTGGGCTCTTTTCCCTGTCTCAGTGTGCCCGTGGCCTGGCTGCCCGTCCACCTTTCCACACCGTGGCGGCTCCACCCTGCCTGGGCCATCAGCCATGCCGCCCCGCCTGCACCCTGCACCAGTGCTCGTCCCACCTCAGCAGGCCTCGCCCAGTCTCGCCCCTCGGGACTGTTATCCTCAAGTCACGACCACGGTGGCACTGTGCAACCAATGAGTAACAGCTGTGTGCTCCAGCCTGGCCTGGTACCTCGGACACTTGACCTAGAGCGGGGACCTGACCACCAGCGCTGGCTAATGGGCTGTCCCACAGTGTGGCTTGCTCTGACCTGCTTCAGCGACAGGTGGGTAGAATTGGCAGCTGCAGAGGGAGCCTGCCACCAACGAGAGGCACTGTGGGCTCACATGGCTCCCATCCAGCTCGCAGCCACTACCTCAAAACCACCTGTTAAGATTCAGGAGCGAGCGTGGGCTGGCAAGATGGCTTAGCAGATAAAGACCTGGGTTTGAATCCCAGAACCCACATGGTGGAAAGAGAGAACCAGCTCCTCTGACCTTCATCCGTGGTCATGCACATACCTAGACACAGGCACATGGGCACACACACAAAGCCCCAGGACCAGGGCGCCCCAGGACGTCTCACCCTATGCCACTGCTTCTCAACTCAAATCGTTAATACCTTCCTCATGTGCTGATGACCCCAACCATAAAGTCATCTTCCTTGTCACTCCCTAAGTGTGATTTTACTACTGTTGTGAACCGTAAGTATCTGGTGTGCAGCAGCTCCGATGCGAGACCCCACAGGGGGCACTGAGAGGCACGCTGCAGCTCAGCCTCACTGCCTGGATGTCTGTATGCTGTCACTCATCCCGGGATCTGGCCTCTAAGTCTGGGGCACCCCGAGCAACCCTTCCAGGACTGGCACTGGTTAACCTCTGGCAACTAAGACACAAAATACACCTCAAACAAACTAGATCAAGCAAGCAGTCTCGTCATCCCTCACAGCGCTGCCAGCTCCACGCAGAGGGCAGGGCAACAGCTGTGGGCTTGCCAAACACAGCCAAAGGGACTGTCCCCAGACAGTCCTGCAGAAGGCAACCTGCTCTGGGGATTTCAAAGCTTCGTTGCCTTGTGAAGACTCCTCAGTTGGTGTGTCTGTCTACTATGCACAAAGGCTTGGGTTCGATGCCCAGTGCTGCATCAACCTACACAGTGGGTCAAGGGCTGTGATCCCAGCATTGGGAGGGTCAGAAGTTCGAGGTCACCCTCGGCTAACCAAAACAAATAAACCTTTCACTTAGTTATTGCTCCTCCACGAATATGCAATCCAGATAATTAGGTGGGGAATGGGGATAGGGGTGAAGTGAGGGGGAAAAGTATCTGACAGCAGGGATCTACAAAGTGGGGCGGGCCAGAGCTATGCTCATGTCCTGTAAGGACCTCTGTAAAATTTTATTTTATATTTATAGGTGTTTGGCCTGGATGTATGTCTGCTCCACAGCAGCCAGAGGAGGGCACTGGGTCACTCGGAACTGGAGTCCGGACTCTTGTGAGGCCCCTTTAGGGATATTTCTTAGTGGTTTACTTAATCTTTCCACTAATAACAAAATGTTTTACTTAATTTTTTTTCTTTTTCTTTTTTGAGACAGGGCTTCTCTGTATATAGCTCTGGCTGTCCTGGAACTCACTCTGTAGACCAGGATGGGCTTGAACCCAGAGCTCCTACTCTTCCTTAGGACTCAAGTTTGGTTCAACACCCAAACTGGGCAGTTCACAACCACCTGTAACTCCAGCTCCAGGTACTGGACACTTCTGAAATCCCCAGGCAATGTGTACAAAGCAAGGCAGACACAAAGGGACTGAGACATGAGTCGGTGGAGGAGTGTACGCTCAGAATACACAAGACCCTGGGCTCTCTGCCCAGCACAGGGGAGACAAGAGGGTAGAGACAGTGAAGGAGAACTGCAAGGCTAACCTGGGCTATGGTGTGAGTTTACAGTTAGCCCAGGCAACTTTCAAAAAAAAAAAGAATTAAAAAAAAAAAAAAGAATAAAAAGGGGCTGGAGAGATGGCTCAGCAGTTAACAGCACTGGGTGTTCTTCCAGAGGACCCGGGTTCAAGTCCCAGCACCCACGCGGCAGCTCACAACCATCCTGCACTCCAGTTCCAGGGATCTGACGGCATCTTCTGACCATCCCGGGTACCAGGAATACACGTGGTGCAGAGACACACATGCGGGCAAACTCATACATACAAAATAAATACGTTTTGAAAGAAAGACAGACAGACAACCCCAGCCCTTGCTCACAAGGTTATCCACTGTGGCGATAGTTACAGTAGGCAAACTAGGGCATAACCCAGTGTAAGGAGAGCAAATTAAGTGTCTTGGTGCCTAGGAAAAGCCTAGTTCTTTCCACTACCCTAAACGCCTTTCCAGTGAATGGCCACATGGGGGCACAGGCCAGCTAAGTAAAACAAGACTGGCTGAGCAAGTGTTTAAACTGGCTTATGAGTGCTGGGAGACAGTTTAGCTTGTCCATTAAGCAAGCCTATAGAAGCAAGTTCAAATCCTGGGGTCCCCACGGTGAAAACAAAACAAAACAAAACAAAAAACAGACTCCCTTGAGGTGTACACTGACCTCCACAGTTGCATTTTGGCACAGATAATAAATTTAAGAATAAATGTGAAACATCTGGAATAGAAATCTGATCAAGCAGTCCTGTGCACACACTAATTTCATAGCTTTGCTAACAGTACTACATGGGGGTTTTGTTTGCTTGCTTCTCAGAAGGGTACCACTGTATAACCAGCCTCTAACTTCTGGTAACCCTCCTGCCTCAACCTCCAGGGTGCTTCAGTTATAGATGATCAGCACAACAACTGGCTGATACAAAGTATGAGAAACTCTCTCCAGAGCTGTAACACTGCACTGAGATCTTCGGAGCTGGACAGGGTAACAGGCACAAGCTGCTCTCAAGAGATCCAAGCAGAAAAACAGGGTTTGTACCAAGAGAGAGCAAAGATTAAGAAAGATAGGGAAGCCCGGGCACAGTGGCTCACACCTGTAATCCCAGCACCGGGGAGGCAGAGGCAGGTGGATCTCTTCGAGTTCGAGGCCAGCCTGGTCTACAAAGTGAGTTCCAGGACAGCCAGGGCTCTGTTACACAGAGAAACCCTATGTGTGTGTGTTGGGGGTGGGTAGTGGGAGGAGAAAGATTGACAGTGGCTGACGAGGTGTTTAAGAGCAGTGGCTCTTCTTGCAGAGGACTAGGGTTTGATTCCCAGCACCCACACTACAGTTCACAATTGTCTCCAGTTCCAGGGAGTCCAACACCCTCTTCTGGCTTATACAGGCAAAATATCCATACACATAAAAAACACAGGTAAGTTTAGAAAACAAACAAACAAACCCACTGTTCTCTAAAACAGTCCCGCATTAGTTTCCCTTGAAGTGATCATGTCACTTACTAGACTAGGCCAAAAAGCAGGCTTCACCTCCCAACCATAGCAGGTTCTCGCTACTCATCTGCCCCGGGGAAGCCAATCTTGGCTTGCCGTGACCTGTCCCTTTGGACACCCACACAGGCCAAGCTGAGAGGCAGGTTCGCCAGCCTCAACAAGCCTTTGCATGACTGTAGCCCTGCCCGACACCTCTCTTTTATTCCTTGATTTAAAACGAAAGTCTCATGTAGCCCAGGATGGCCTGGAACTCACTATGCAGATCAGACTGGCTTTAAACTAAGAACTCCATCTGCCTCTGCCTTCTGAGTGCTGGGATCGAAGGCTCAAGCTAACTGTGGACTCACCTAGAACTCCCTGTGAGAGTCCAGGCCGGCCTTGAACCTCTGGGTCTCCCTGCCTCTGACTCAAGGCAGGCTTTCGGGTGTGTGCCACCACGCTCAGCTGCCTAGATCCTTCTGGTTAAGAGCTGTCTCAGTGTTAGTCAGGCCTGATGTTAAGAATACAGCATAAAAAAAACCTAGCAACTAAGCTGGCCAGCGGTGGCGCACACCTTTGATCCCAGCGCTCGGGAGGCAGAGGCAGGCTGAACTCTGAGTTCAAGGCCAGCCTGGAGTTCCATGACAGCCAGGGCCACCAAGTGTAACCCTGTCTTGAAAAACAAAAAACAAACAAAAATGAATTCGGAGTTTACACACATACCCTAACTGTAAAGTCGCTGCTGTCATTATCCTCACCTCACGTGAGAGATAAGGAAACTGAAGCACAGAGAAATAAGCAACATACAGAAGTTGGGCCCAGAGGAAGGGGCGGAAGAGGCCAGAACAGCCCCTCCCCCCACACTCCACAATTCCCTCGGACTGAGGCTCCTCAACTACATGCACTGCCTGCTGGGACATTCATGGGCTGTGGCCAGCATTTCGGGACAGTGCTGGAGAGCCGGCTAGGTGGTAGAGAGCACTGAGGCTCTAGCAGAGGACACAGGCTCCTAGCACCAGTATCAGGTGGGTCACAAGTGTCTGTAACTGCAGCTCCAACTGCACACACCCACACACAGTCACACACACAACACAGCAGCTGGAAGTCCTGGCTACAGCACACACAGCAAGGCCTGCCACATGATGGGTATAACACACTGATTCAGCCTAAACCCTCCTCCCCACCCTCAATCTAGATGGAAGAAACAGTGTTCACATTCACATGGCAGGAAGTCTGTATGGAGAATCATGGCTGTTCAAGGCCAAGCCGCACTGACTTTGCCATCCAGCCCCTTGCCAATATAGGTTCTCTTCTAGTTTCCACCTCTTGTCTGGCCCATCTTTTTCTTTTTTTTTAAAAACAACTTCACAACACCTTACCTTCTCATGTGCCAATGATTCATATAAGACTAAAGGCTCATTTTCCTCACATGTAAATAGTGTCCACAAATCAACAAGAAACTGACCAGGAACCCACATTTAAAAAAAGCAAAGTATATAAACAGTTTCTCAGAACAAATAGTTCTTAAATGCATAAAAAGTTGACTGATTTCATCAATAGTGAAAAGGAACACAACTTAAAAATCAATGCAAGGCACTTTTTTTCACCTGTCATACCGGCCACTTCAATACACTAATGAGGCTGGTAGAAGACAGGTACAAAATTACACTTCTGACAAGCTAAACTAACTGACAGTCCACAGAAGGCAGCTTGGAGATATCATTACAATACAGAACCATCATACCTTTTAGACTCAGAAAACTCAGTTTAAAGAACTTATTCTAAGTTGTGTGTGGTACACCCAGCAATTTGAGACACTGAGGTAGAAGGCTTACCTGGACAACTTAGAAAGACTGTTAAACTGAAAATGTTCAAAGGCCTTGTGATTTATTCTCAGTAGTGAAGTGCTTGCCTAGAGCCCACCAGTGAGGGTCTGGGGCCGTGGCTCAGTGGTAGAGCCCCTGCCTAGAATCCCCCAGTGAGGGGCTGGTTGTGGCTCAGTGGTAGAACACCTGCCTAGAATCCCCCAGTGAGGGGCTGGGGAGTGGCTCAGTGGTAGAATGCCTACCTAGTACACAAGCCAGACTACAAAATAATGACTTATTCTGCAAAATACCACACAAAGCTCTTATCCGTGGCCTTGTTCATGGTATGTAAAAACCAGGAGTGACTTCAAACGCCCATCCATAAGGACTGTCTAAAAAAATAACATACTCACACAATGATCTACTACGTAGCCATTTAAAATAACGGAAAGCAGCCACCAAGGTCAAGTTTAAACAACAGACCAGGCATGACCTAGGTACAGCCTTCACCTTTTATAAAACTGGAAGACAGAGCACTGATGTCCGAAAGCATTCACTCTGAAGGGAATGTACGGTTCTTCTGGTTGTTGAGACGGCATCCCATGTAGCCTAGGCTGGCCTCAAACTCCTTGTGTAGCCAAGAATGACCCTGACTGATACTCCGGTCTCCACCCTGTTAGTGTGGTTCAAGGCAGGTGCCACCATGTTGGGCGTGTTCAGTGTGAAGGAAAGGAGCTGTGCCACCCGACACAGCTCTGAAGGTCACTCCCTACCCCTTGGTGACCTGTCCCCTGTCTAGAGCTGGACTCTAAAGGTGCACTGTGGCCAGCAGACGTTCAGGGAACATGAGAGCGAGGAACGAAGGAGTGTGTTTCCCAGGGTAGCAGGACAGAGGCAGGCAGGGCGAGGGAGCGGGGGCTGCGTAAGGCGGCCAGGCTGCCAAGGTGCGTCTACCTGGGGAGCTGGAGCTGGGGAAGCCCGGCTGTCGGGGGTCTGGGTGCCATGGCCAGCTCCTTTGGTGACGGGCGTGGCCAGGGCTGGGTCTTGGGCAGGAGGCGGGGCGCTGACTATGACGGAGGCAGGCACCGAGAGGTGGGGACCCTCTGTAGAGAGGGGCTGCTGGTTCCTCTCCTGCAAGGGCCACCCAACCAGGATCAGAAGGCCCCAGAGGCCACGGGCTCCCATCCGAGCCTGCCGCCCCACCCACCTCACGGGCAACTACAGACAAGAGGTGCAGAGCAGGCTGACCCCAGAGCCTCTGTCTGCTCACCCTCCTCTGCGTTCCATCATTCCATCCACCATTCATTCACCATCCCTTCTATGTCCCCCTTGACTCTGTTCACCAAGTACGCCATCTGTCTGTCAGCCCCATCTCTTGTCAATAGGCCTACCAGCCCGCCCCTCAGCTCAGCTATCTGCCGTCCCTCCCTCCATGCTCCCCCATTACCTGGGGCAGGAACATCTGGAGGGAATCCTGAGTGAGGATGGCCGTTGTGGCCGCGGGGGGCGGCTGCCCCAGGACTATCTTCTCTGGGCTGGATGCCAGGCTTGGGCTGGCCTGAGGAGGGGTGGCCTGAGGCTGGGTGGCCGCCTGCGGGGTAGGGGCCTGGGGCGGCTGCTGTGCCTGTGGCTGCTGGAGGCCCATGGGCAGTGGTGTGGTGACGGCGGGGGGCGCTTGGGTGGCGGGCTGAACCGCCAGGACAGGGGCGGCCTCCCCAGCAGTGGCAGCTGGGGTGGTGGGCTGTACCAGTCCATCAGGGGTGTTGAGCATGGCCACAGCGCTGGGAGGCAGGGTGACGCCCTGGAGGACAGTGGTGGCCGTGGGGCCGGTGGGGGCCGGCTGGCTCTGGGTGGGCAGGCTGCCAGTAGCCAGCGACACAGGCATCTGGAAGAGGGCAGGTTGGCCCACCTGGATGGGAGCTGCGGAGAGGATGTGAGCGGCGCTGTGTGGCCCTGAGTGGGGTGCCAGCACGGGGCCCAGGCTCAGCGGGCCTGCCAGGTTCTGGTTGGTGAGGATCGGGTTGGCGATGAGCTGTCCGCCTGCATGTGGTGCCGCGGCTGTGAGGATCTGGCCGCCCACGTTGGCAGGCAGGGCAGACAGCGACTGGGGGAGCTGAACAGCCGGGGTGCCAGGCAGCAGGAACTGGTTCTGGCCAGGCAGCATGTGCTGAGCAGGGATCACAATGCTACTGCCTTGATTGAGAAGATGGACGCTCATGGGCTTGCTGAGGGCTCCGGGGGGCTGCTGCGGGGCCGTGCCTGTGGTGGTAACCGGCGGCTGCTTGAATACATTCGCCTGTAAGGCTGGTGCCGGGAAGCTGGACAGCACCACGTTCTGGCCAGCTTTGCCTGCGGCCATGAAAGTCAGGTTCTGGGGGGCCTTAGGCTGCTGGGGCAAGGTTCCTGGCTCACCCTGGATGGTGAGGGTGGCCCCCGTGGGGGTGAAGGGCTTGGGTGTCAGCTGGTAGAGTTTCGGGGGCAGCACCCCTGCAGGCTTCGGCTGGATGGGTGTGGGGGTTCTGTGTAGAATCACATTGGGCGTTTGTACCAGCGGTGACGTGCCAAGGCCCGGGGCCACCGCCAGCGGCTGTCCCGAGGGCGCCCCACTGGCTCCTGCAGTGGCAGCCCCTGTACCGGCAAACACCGAGTTCCCATTGAGTGTGGTAGTCACCGCAGCTGGGAGACTCTTCTGGATGACCAGGCCGGCCCCCTGGGGGGACATGCCAGCGGATGCCAGCGTCACAGGCTCCGAGGGACCAGCTGCTGAGGCCAGGTAGCCACTGACAGGCACCTGCTTTGCCAAAAGCTGGGAGGTGGGCGGGTTAAGGGCCATGACGGGTTGGCCTACTACCTGAATGGGTGCCAGACCTAAGGTGGCTGCTGCAGCACCCCCAGGACTGCCATTGGGAAGGCCCTGAATGTGCTGAAGGGTCACGTTGCCCAGGCCCACAGGCTGCAGGAAGGGCTGGACGCTCAGGGCCTTGTTGACCACATCCTGGGGTGGCACCAGAGCCTGGTGGGTCAGGACGGTGGGCGGGGCTTGTAGCCCCAGCAGATCGGCGCCGCCTGGGAAGAGAGCCTGGGCTCCGGCAGTCACCGCAGCGGCTCCAGCAGCCCCGGTAGCACCTGCCCCGTTATCAGCGGGCTGTAGGGTGGGCAGCTGGAAGGGGCCCAGGTCCAGTTCTGCCTCTGCCTCCAAGGTCTGTTCTGTGATGTTAGCCTCCTGCAGACTCTGCTGAAGGATGTCACAGGGCTGGTCCGGGCCCCCGCTGCCTCCTCCACCTCCTCCTGCTGCAGGGGAGCCCAAGATATCATCTTCCAGGAAGTCCAGGTCCACGCTGGGAGCAGGCTGGCTGGGCTCAGGGTTCAAGTGGTTGCTGGCAGCTTCCTGCACGTGGAGCTGGAGGCAATCAGGAGAAGGTAAGTGCTGAGGTGAGCCAGGGACACACTTGACAAGGCCTCTACGACCCAAGAACGTTCCACCAGAAAGTGACCGGACACAGACCAACCCCTGGCTGGGTGTGGGCTTCATTGTGCACCCCGAAGCTGAATCTGTCCTCAGTTTCCCCATGTGCCCCTATCAGTAGATGGTGATAAGAAGGTGAGCAAGAAAAGCCTCCGCCTCGAAATCTTGATGACCTGAGTTCCCAATGTGGTAACCGACTCCTTAAAACTGCTCCTACGCCTCTGCGTGCATGCCATGGCCTGTGCACGTCCCCATCATACAAGGATCATACACATATATACCATTTTAATAAGCAAAAAAAGTTTCTTAAAAAGAAGAGAAAGAACTCACTGTACAGATTCCAGCAGCCTCGCGCTGGGGGGGCAGCTGCCTGTATTTTCTTTCTGAAGTCAAATGGGCCAGTGAATGCAGGTTGTCAATCCCTACATCCTAGGAGGCAGCAGGAGGGAGAGGGAGAGCCCTGACTCCTGAGAGTTTCCTCTGACCTCCACACACAGGCTGGGGTAAACTCACACGCACAGGAGTGTACACAAAGTGAGTCAAATAAATAAAATGAACCTGTGCTCACAGAGACCCACAACACTTGTGATTCCAATGTAATGACTTCCTTCCTTCTGGGAGCAGGAGGTTGGGACAGGATCTCTACTTAGTCCTGTTTTAGAATATGTCACATAGACAGGATGACACTGAACCCACAGGCTGACCTTGAATTCCCCTTGACCCCATTCTACCTCCCTGAGTGCAGGGATTAAAGGTGTGTACCATCAGGGTGGGCTCTGAATCACTTCCTTTAAGACAAGGTTTCTTGTAGCCTAGGCTTGTCTCAAACAGACTACATAGTCCAGGAAGACCTTGTTTGCCTAGGCTGGATTAGAACTCACTATGTAGCCTAGGCTGGCCTAGAGCTTGCTCTATAGCTAAGGATAATTTTTTATAAATATTTTCTGTGTACACACGTGCCTACGTGTATGTATGCACACACATATGTGCCTGGTGTCTAGGAAGAATAGAAAAATGTCAGATGCCCCAGATGTTACAGATAGTTGTGAGTCACCACATGGGTACTGTGAACAAAACCCCACTCCTCTGCAGGAGCAACCAGTGCTCTTAACCACTTAGCCATCTCTCCAGACCCCATGGATATCTCCTGATCCTTCTGCTTCCACCTCCCAAGTGCTGGGATCATAGGCAAGCACCACCATACCTGCCTGTTGTTGTTATTTGTTTTTTTTTTAATAAGCGCAAACTTATCCCAGCACTCAAGGAGGCAGAGGCAGGTGGATCACTGTGAGTTGAAGGCCAGCCTGGTCTACAGAGCAAGTCCAAGACAGCCAAGGCTACACCAAGAAACCCTGTCTCAAAAACAAAACAAAACAAAACAAAACAAAAAAGACAGAAAGGATAAAAAAAAAAAAAAGACAGAAAGGAAGGAAGGAAGAAAGAAAAAGGAAGGAAGGAAGGAAGGAGGGAGAGAGGGAGGGAGGGAGGGAGGGAAAGAAGGAAGGAAGGAAGAAAGGAAGGAAAGAAGGAAGGAAGGAAGGAAGGAAGGAAGGAAGGAAGGAGAAAAGAAAGAAAGAAAGAAAGAAAGAAAGAAAGAAAGAAAGAAAGAAAGAAAGAAAGAAAGAAAG